TTTAGCACCTCGAAGAAAATAAATGATGACGTTACAGATTAAAGTTTTAAGAAGGGGTTCAGAGCGACGACTTTATAAGTTGAGAGTTTTTTTAAGCACCCGGCCGAAGCTGCTGCGGAAAAAAAGGACAGGAGAGGACAGAGAGAAGAATGGGTCGGGATAAAAATAATATGAGAGTAACAGATAGAGGACGAGGAGGAAGAGGATGCATGTAGAATAGAGGGATGAAAGAGGAAGATAGGAGGGGGTCCGAGTGATAAAAATAGGGAAGGGCAGGCGAAGAGAGATGAAGGAGGCGAGATGAAAGAGAGATTTAACAAAGTAACACCTCAAACCTGTTCCACATCCCCGAGTAATGATGAAGAAAAGGACGAGACTAGAGGGTAATATGAAAAAGAGAGGATGAAGACGAGTAAAAAAGTAGTGAAGGCCGAGAGGAGAAATAGGAGGGCAGGTTTATGGTTGCTGTTATGCAGAAATGTAAACACTTTGCAACGTTCGCAGAAAACAATGACACCGCAGGGAGAGGAAGGTGTGTGTGTGTGTGTGTGTGTGTGTGTGTGTGTGTGTGTGTGTGTGTGTGTGTGTGTGTGTGTGTGTGTGTGGGTGCAGTTAAAGCACTACGGGGAGCGGAAGGAGAACGACGGAGGTGAAATGAGAGAGAGAGAGAGAGAGAGAGCCGACCAGGGCAAAATTGGAGATATGAGATTTGTATCATAAACGCTGCATAAAGGGAGAACAACATGCAACTAATTCAGCTAAAAACCCACGTCCTGCGTTAATAATCATGACCAGAGCGAGGGCTTTCTGTACAAATGGAGCTCATTAGATACACAGTGAAGAACCTACATTGTTAATACACATGAAGAGACACCACTGATTTGAATTGTGTTGTAAGGTATAGATCGATAGGGTGGATTATGCGCAGCGATGGAGGTTTTAAGACTGAAAAGGTTGGGTTTATTTAAATAAAAAAATGCATGGGTTGTTCCGACCAGAATGTTGGCGACTGATATCATGAGACTAATGTCAGTTTATTCGATTTTTTACATATGTTAAATGTTTTTACCTATTTACAGAAATCTAGAAACAAACACTTTCAAATGTTAGAAATTGGGAAATCTTACTGGCGTCAAATTAAATGGTCCTATAATTAGTTAAGTGACTTAATACTGGAGAAGAAATGATTAGTCGATGACTCAACATCACTGTTTGATGCGAACGTTGCAAAGTGTTTACAGTTTCTACCCCTGGGCCGTCAGGCTGCTTAACCACCACACTTAATGCAGTAACCGTAACCATTCTCACACATACACACACTTTTAAAAGCACTTTATATACTATTTTTATATCAATATTTGTAACTATTTATTCCCCGTATGATTGTTTATGTTGTCTGTCCTATTGCCGTGTTTTTTAGTGTTATGTATTTGTTTGTATTTTTTGCACACCGGGACAGAGTTGCACTCTGAATCTCGTTATACTCTGTGTATAATGACAATAAAAGGCTTTAACTTAACTGTTTAAAGCTTTAAAATGTGAATATTTGCTCTTTTTTTTGGACTTCTTTGATAGTTAACAACATTTATTTGGGTTTCACGCTGCTGGTCGGTGAAAAACAAGACATTTAAATATGTCAACTTGGCCTTTAGTCAATAAAAAGGTTTACAAATAATTGAAAAAGCACCTTGGTAGACCTTTTTGAATATGAAAGCATGGAAACATGTCACAGTAGAGACACTTCATGCAAATATGATAAGCCTAAAATGTCGTCTTTAACGGAGTTTATTTTCCCCCTAGACTCCCGGTCCTTTCTGAAGACCCCCATGATGTTCTAGAAAGACCGCGTCCTCGTCGTCCTGATGCCCCACCTCCTCTCCCTGAAGCCCCGCCTTCTCCACGTGAAGCCCCGCCCCCCTTTACCACTTTCCCCGCTCCTGCACAGAAGAACTCCACCAGCCCGTTTCCACGAAATCACGAAACCACTTTCCCCCGGCGGGATTTTATTCTTTGCTAAACACTTTTTGACGTTGCTACAAAACAAACTATGAGACTACTAGAAGACACAAACACTCCTGATTTGGACTCGCTGGGGTCGTCTCTACTTCTTTATCTTCTTCTTATTTTTTAGATAAAATCCACTCCATTCATTCCTCTTTTTCTCTACCTGCACTGGGACTTATCTCACCTTGTTTGTTTTGGTAAGAATAAATAAAAACAAGGCGATGGAAGCAACGGAAAAGTACCGGAATAACGTCAACAAGCTTTCACAAATGAACTCGGTTCGGACATCTTGTGGCAAAAAAAACAAATGATGCGATGAATCGGTTTTTGAAATGACTTAAAAAAAATGCGGTTGACCTCATTGGCTGGTTGTCTACTCCCTTCTGATTGGACGATAATCAGCCAATAAGAGGAGCTCAGGATTTGAGACGTGTAGTGTAAAAAAAAAAATATCGGGAAGGGATGTAAAAAAAAAGTAAAACTCTGGAGGCTATTTCTGTCTCTCATGTTTCATTAATTTTAGTTTTCCGTACAGGGACTGAAAAGAATGCATGGGAAAACTTCTTATGTTGTCATTTGGCTTATTTTATCCTCCTTTACCTCCCCTCGTCCCCTTCTATCTCCTGCTTCTTCTACTTCTATCTCTTTTTCCCTTTTTAAGGAGGCATTACTCTGAAAATGTTGGATGCCGCTTTTCAATGTATTTTCTATCACGTCTTAATAATAATAATAACCTGTTTCTCAAACCATGCAAAACGTTAAAAAAACAAACCCTTTTTTTATGGCAATGGAGTGATTTTTAGACACGATATTTTATCCTTTGAAGTAAAAAAAAAAAGGTACGTTGGATTCTCTTCCTTTTCACCGTTTGACCCCTTGTTTCCCGTGACCAAGATGTTGAGGTTCTGGTGTTTGTGAAATGATCAACGTGGAGAGTTTGATTTGTTTATTAAAAAGCTGCCCCGATGCAAGAGTACTTCAGATGTTGAAATCAAGCGCTCCTCGAAAACACAAGAAACGTTTTACTCCCTGATTTTCTGACCTACTAAGAGTGCAGACTGTTGTGTTGCAGTTTTGTTTATTCCACTGCGTGTTTATTTGTTTGTTTATTTGTTGATTACTATTTGAAATGTGTACGGGAGGGATGAGGGGTGGGGGGTGTCGGGGTGGGGGTGGGATATTTGGGGGTGTTAAAGGGATATTCCGTGTAGATAGAAACAAAAACATTCAGTCTTGTTTTATTATTATTATTTTTTTCTCCTGATGATCTCTCAGTCTGTCACTGTTCTCTGGGTTTGAGCTGACTGCAAATATACAGTATTATAATGACTGCTGTCCTGTGGTGTTTTACACACACACACACACACACACACACACACACACACACACACACACACACACACACACACACACACACACACACACACACACACACACACACACACACATACCATGTATACATCACTTCAGGGGACATTACATTGACTTACATGCATTTCCTGGAGACTTATCCTAACCTTAACCATAACCAACACATGCCTAACCCTAATCCTAACCCTAACCAAGTCTTCACCCTAAAATTAATGATCCCCCTTATGGGGACCTCCAATTTGTCCCCATAAGGGAAGCCAGTCCCCACACGTGACTATGTAAACAGATTTAGGTCCCCACAAGTATAGTAATGCTAGACCACACACACACACACACACACACACACACACACACACACACACACACACACACACACACACACACACACACACACACACACACACACACATAGCGTACAAAAGTCCCAGTAACGATGAAACTCGGGGAAACTTCACCAAGCTTGTTGAAATAAAAGTCACTTTTGCACATTATTGTTTCCACCAAATCCAAAGCCCCAATGATTTGACTCAACAACATTTTACACGAGGAACTACTACACCACAAGTACTCAATTGCTGTTGAGATATTTTACTCAAAACCACCAACCTCATGAGGAAAATTCGAGGTTAATCGAAGTCTAAAATGATTTCTCTGGGATCTATCTGTAACAAATGTTCACAGATCTGGAACAAACCTCTCAGAGCCCTTATGACCAAAAAGTACCAGAAACAATGAAACCAGGAGAACTAATCTCAGATACTAGAACTTAAAGTCTCTTTTCACCAAATGAAAGCCCCGTAAATATTGTTCAGATTGGATTGAAGTCACAAGGAAACAACAACACCCACAGAACCACATTGTAAATGTAATTTGCCATATTCACTCAAGACAACGCCTTTTTCTAAAGCCATTGTGTGTATCATTTTAAAATGATTATTTCTCGACTTGATCTTGTTATAGTTAACAACGTCTGAACCAAGGGTACAACTAATACAATATGCCAAGAGTTGTCAAGTTATTTAACTAAAAACCACAAATGTCAACCTCATGGTGGCGGCACAGGAAAAAGGCATCATCTTCAACACTAGAACCGCCAGAGGTCGCTGTATACCTAAAACCGCCAACGGGTCAAATTGACCCGCTATTGATTTTCAAGGTACAATGTTCTTTTATTTATCATACAGAACAGTGAGCTTTGATCGCACAGGGATGAAACTTATACCAATAGAATCTGTGGACTCTCAGCTTTTCATATGATATAATATAGTATAAAATATGGCTACCAGTGCTGATTTAAACGCTTGGTGTTAGACTTGTGTTTTGTTTAGGTACAAATCTCTCTATCTCTCTATCTATCGATCTATCTATAACTATTTATCTGTCTATCTCTCTCTTTCTATCTATCAATCTATCTATATATATATATATATTAGGGCCGGGACTCGATTAAAAAAATTAATCTAATTAATTAGAGGCTTTGTAATTAATTAATCGAAATTAATCGCATTTTTAATCACATATAAATATTTGACCTAAGAACAGTGAGAAGCAATTTTTTTCACATGGATTTTAGTATACCATTAGGCGCATTCACACCGCAGTACTTTTCCCACAAAGGTTCATGAGAACTTAGTTCATGAGAACTCTTTGAACCTGGGGGTGGATTAGGCAAATGAAGCCGCCGACGTCACTTCTTCTTCTTCTGCTTTGGGTTTACTGGCAGGCCGCAAACCACTTCACGGCGTATACTGCCGCCCAAAGTCCCCGGCCGGAAGTCCCCGGAGTTGGGGACTGGCTTCAGTAGAAGCTGCTGGGAGTCCCAGCAGCTTCTACTGAAGCCTTCCGAGTAAATCGCCAGAACGCCGACACCTCCTCATCTCCACCACTCCCATGTTTTATTTTGTGTTGCCATAAGTTAGTCTCTCTGCGTTTCTGCGCTGGGCTAATGCTAACAATGCTAATGCGAGGATAATAAAATGGCGGCTTCACAAAACTTTTTGGGAGTTTTACGGGGCGTGGTTTGCAATCCGCCCAGCCAATCAGAAATATAGCTCTTTTCTCACAAGAGAGCCGTACGAAAGTCCCTGCTCTCTAGCAGCTCTCTGCTCTCTAGCAGGGACTTTCGTGGGGGTAAAAAGGTTCTCATGAACTAATTTTAGTACCGGCTCTTTTTGGTGTGAACGCGATAAAAGAGGCTAACGTCCACGCTAGCTTCCACGCTAGCTGCTATATGTTTTGCATTGAGGTGATACTTGAGGCTTGATGTGCTGCGGTGATATGCGAATTCCTTTTTGCATAATTTGCACACAACCGTGCTCTTATCGACGCTTCCATCCGTCCGTTTTTTAAAACAACATTTCCCACTGTTGTTCACTGTGGTTTGTTGTTGTCTGAAGTCATGAACGTTAGTTGGTGCTCCAGTATAATCGGTACGCCTGAAACTCATCCAGTGAGAAACGTTCCGCGGTGCAAAAATAAGTGCGATTAAAATGCGTTAATTTTTTTAACGCGTTAATTTTTGCGTAATTAATTAATCTTAATTAACGCGTTAAAGTCTCGGCCCTAATATATATATATATATATATCTCTCTCTCTCAATCTCTCTATCTATAAGGAACCGCAGTAGACAAAAGGTGTTGCTATAGCAACACGTCATGTTTACGCTGCATTTCCTATGAGGTAAATATTACCCGCTGGCAGATATAGTTATAAATGGCAAAACAAATTAAGTTTTTTTCAATCTGACTTCATATTGACAATTTTTAACAACAGAGGGTGCTATATAACACACTATCAGGAAAAGTCACGGACTGGGAGACTTTAATATTGTATTGAAAAAAAGTTACATACGATCAAGAAACAGCTGCGGGTAAAATTGACCCGTTGGCGGTTCTAGTGTTAAAATGACTTTTCTAGTAAGATTTCTACCACATTTCAGGCCGATTCATCCAATAGTTGTCAATATATTTCCCTCAAAACTACAAATGTCATAGTGGCGCAGACCCGGCGCCGTGGGAGGGCCAGAGAGGGCCACCCCATAAACACGTTTTTTTTAATTTATAAAAAATACAAATAAATAATAATATTATAAATAAACTGAACTGTAATGCTACGATGTGATTTCAGTCAAATAAATCCTGTATCCCTTGTGATTTGTTATTCGTCCACATTCAGACCAATCACAGCGTCACACTCTGCCGCCTATTCTGGATTTGTTTTTTATTGTGCGTTCTGTAGACTCCCATTTCTGTTTTCAATTACAAAATGGACATCAGAAATGGGCTTAAAACCACGAGTAGGTCTAAGGATTTATTACAAATACATCGCGATGAAAGAACTGCAGCCGATGGCGACCCGGCACCTGCCGTTGCAGCAGCACGCCTTAATGTTATAGCTTGACCTCGGCAAATCCCGGGGCTGAGGCTACGCACTGCATGTGGTGTCGCTCTGTATTATTATGTTTGCCCAAGTTTAAGGCCCAAGCAAAGCTGTTGCTGTTATGTTTTTATTTCAAATGTGTGCCTTGCTCATGAGTGTTTGTGCCGCCACGCACACAATGTTTCAAAAGTGGTTTATATGTTGCCCTTTATTTGTATATTTATTTGTGTGATACGATCTATATTGTGCCGCCGCACATGACGGTTTTGTGGGCCTTCCCATGGAAATCATATGCCCTCTCTGTAGATTTGTTCTGGAGTCTGTAGTGGCGGAAGAGGAAAAGTCAGAGGATCTCCACACGTCTATAAAAGTGTTTCTCTGGGAAGCATTTGTACCAAATTGCCGATTCATCCAATAATTGCCCGAATATGTCACTTAAATGTCAACCTGACCAAAGTCTGGGTTAGACCGTCAAGGGAACAAGAATGTTAATAAAACAGTTTCATGGTAATTCATTAAATATGTGGTTTGGACCAAATCGGTGGGACTGACCAACAACACTAAAGCAATAACCCTAGCATTCATCACACACACACACACACACACACACACACACACACACACACACACACACACACACACACACACACACACACTGTTGGGGATTAAAAAAACACACACACACACACATACCATGTTTACATCACTTCAGGGGACATTACATTGACTTACATGCATTTCCTGGAG